CTGGTATTCAGGCCCCTAAAATCCTAAACCCTAAACCCCTAAACCCTAAACCCCTAAACCCCAAACCCCTAAACCCTAAACCCTAAACCCTAAACCCCTAAACCCCTAAACCCTAAACCCTAGCTTCTGCGATTTTACCTGTCGGACTGCGACGGCCCTGGGCAGATGGACTTGCTTGGAGGAGCAGGAGACCTAGCAAGAAAGGTCAAAAGTATTTTTGAATGGGGCTAGAAGTTTTCAGTAGTTATAGCCCTAGTTAAAAGCGCCCCATGATCCTTGAAGCCCTGAAGCCCCTGTAGATCCCTTCTACTTATAGAGACCCTTTAAAGGAACCCTTTAGAGACACTCAGTCCCATAACCCTTTTTGGGGAGCTACCAGTAGGTTCCACCGGAGCGCAAATGCGGAGACTACGTCTTTCAAACCCAAATCCAAGGGCCGAGCCTTAGCGCAAAGAGTCCTACCAACCAAGTACATATTAAGGACTTTATAAGGCATCCCCAAAAAGGAACTACAATGGAGACTGTAGGTAAGAGTCCTAAGTACTATGGGTTCCTTTAAGGGTTCCCTTGCGGGCTCCTAGAAAGGCGCCTTGAAAGGGTTTAGGGTTCCTTTAGGGGCTCCTTTAAGGGTTAAGGGTTTCTCTGAGGGTTCCTTTAGGGGTTGAAGGTTCCTTTAAGGGTTCCTAAGTACCTGCAATAGAAGTAGGGCTTCTGTAGCAGGAGTTACGTTTCGGTACATGGCTTAGGTAATTTTGCCCCCATCAAGTACTTAGGACCCCTTGGGCAACCGTGGCGTGATGACAGTTTGTAGGAAAGCAAGCGTGTGAGAAAGGAAGCCGATGAAACACTGCAAGCTTGGTGGCACGGGATCCCTAAACCCTAGATCCCTAAATCCTAAACCCCTAAACCCTACATCCCTGAATCCCTCAATCCTAAACACTGAAACTCTAAATCCATCCCTCAATCCCTCAATCCTATGCCCTAAGCTCCAAATCCCAACACCCCTAAACCCTAAACTCTAAACCCTAAACCCTAAACTCTAAACCCTAAACCCTAAACTCTAAAGCCTGAACTCTACATCCCAACACCCCCGAACTCCCTAAACTCGGGCCAGGTCCGCGGGGGCCTAGGGGAAATGCCTCCCTTGTCAAGCAGGGCTCGGCCTCTGCCCTTGGCCTTTAGGTTTTAGGGCGTTAGGGCTTTAGGGTTTAGGGTTTAGGCTTTAGGGTTGCGGCCGCGGGCTGCTTTGGATAGTTCAGGAGCCTGAAGAACTAGAATAATGGTAGGCGCCTTAAACTAGAATAGTGTTTTGGGGTATACTACACTATAAGTATAATAAAGACGGCCACCCCAAAAAATAATAAAATAGTATAGGTAATTAAATCAGGCCCCTATATTAGGCTTGGCTTCCATACAGGGCTCCTTGGTCTCAGATCAACCTAGTACAATACTGCACGCCCAAACTTTCAAACCTGTTCTGATAACCCGAACCCCTAAACCCCTAAACCCCTAAACCCTTAACCCCAAAACCCTAAGACCCTAATACCCTGATACTGATACGCTAATACCCTAGACCCTCATAACCTAATACCCTAAATCCTGCACCCTAAACCCCTAAACCCCTAAACCCTAGACCCCAAAAACCCTAAGACTCAAGACCCCCTAAACCCCTAAACCCCAAAACCCTAAACCCTAAACCCTAATCCCTAAACCCTAAACCCTAAACCCGAAACCCGAAACCATAAAACCCTAATCCCTAAACCCTAAACCCTAAACCCTAAAACCCTATCAAACCCTGTAAAAACCTGTAAAACCCTATAAAACCCTAAACTACATTAAGCCCCCAAAAGGAGAAAGGTTACCCCGAAAGCTTCTGAACGGCCTGCTGCAGCTGCAGCCACAGCGCTTGAAGCCGCTCCTGCTCCGACCCTTCCTCCTGTGACTGCAGGGTTTCAGGGCGTTTTTGGTTGAGGGTTTAGGGGTTTAGGGCTTAGGGTTTCAGGGCGTTTAGGGTTTAGGGTTTAGGGTTTAGGGCTTAGGGTTTCAGGGCGTTTTGGGTTTAGGGTTTAGGGCTTAGGGTTCAGGGTTTAGGGTTTAGGGTTTAGGGCCTAGGGCTTAGGGTTTGAGGTTTTTTGGGTTTAAGGTTTTTTGGGCTGTGTTATTCAAATCTGGGAGGCGGCGTGGCTTCTTGAGTTGTCCTCCACGCTGAAGTCTGTTCTAAACCCTACCTATAGTCTCCATTGTAGTTCCTTTTTTTGGTGTAACCAATTATATATTAAGGCTTTTAGAAGGTATCCCCAAAAAGGAACTACGATGGAGACTTTAGGTAGACTCTAAATTAAAAGCCCTAAAACCCTAGCTGTCGAGTTTATCATCGGAAACGCAAGTTGATGCGGCGAGGGAGATGTTAGGAGGGGGTTCCCGAAGGTCCTTTTTTCTGAGATTCGAAACCATCCCCATACATTCAACCCAAAACCCCTGAACCTCGAATTCCGGAAGCATAAGCCCGTTTCAGCCCTAAACCGCTAAACCCCTAGACCCTTAAGCCACGAAGCTGTTTTTACTACGATTGTAGTCTAGAGTTCTCAGTCTCGTACCCTTATTGCGATAGTTCTAAACGAACACTTATAGTTTACGGGGGCCTTGGTTTATTTCTAGAAACCTGAAACCCTAAAACCCTAAAACCTAAAACCCTAGAACCCTAGAACCCTAAACCCGAAAACCCTAAAACCCTAAACCCTAAACCCTAAACCCTAAACCCTAAACCCTAAACCCTTCAAGGATCCCTT